TTGTGTCAGAAATTCTACACAGGAGCATGTATCCTAAAGAAATATTCACCTTAGCTACTGAGGTCCCTGCAGTGCTTAGCCCGGGGCTGTAAGTCAAAAAGAAGGCACAAAGGAGCTGGACTAGGGCCCTTGTGAGCAGATTTATTGGAAAACCTTACCCTGCCAACATCATACCTGGCACCACCTTCGCTCTGCAGAGCGCTGAGGTTTTCCACTCAAATAGCCTGTTGACCTCATCTCCAGCAAGCCTTTGGGTACGCAGAAAGCTCGAATGCAGTCCAAACACTATTGCCACACACCGCCCTGGCTTCCCGTCCCCTTCTATATTTCCCTGTGTGAGCCGCCAGCCTGTAGTAGTCCCTGTCTTCTGGCAACGTGGTTGCCAAGGAGTCTGGGCATGAACAGATGCTCCGGGTCTTCTGAGGACACTCTGCAGTCATCATCCTGATATCTTTAGGCTACAGTCCAGAGGTGCTTAACTCTTTCCATTCCCAGCTTCTGTTTGCCCATACACCTCCCTGGGAGCCTTCTAATTCCCCACACACAGTGCAGGGTCACTTTAAATCAGGTCACTTGCATTGCACTATACATGTGTTTTGCCCTTAATGTGTCTTCTCCTTCCCGGGTCAAACAAACGTTGCTTGACTTGCTCTAACCACACCCCTGTCCTTCTGTAACAACAGTGCCTGTAATAGAAAGATTTTTTAAAAGAATAAATCACAAATCTAGGTGCCCAACAAGATTTGCATCGTAAATCATTAATATAATGGAGTATTTGTGACCAATAAAAATGGTGATATCATTGATAAAAATAACAGGAATAACAAGTCCACTATACACTGTAGGAGAAAAATCACAAAATAAGATGCTTTAACTGAATATGTAACAAGAGCCCATCAATCATAAACCTCTAATTTGTATCATATAGTTATAGTTGGTTAATTTGTTTTCCTTTTTAGGACCTTTATATTGTAACCTCTTTAGATGAATATATATTGTTTTTGAAAAATAAAGTCACAATGAAAGATTCAAAATATTGTAATGAAAAAGTTGCATGGTTTTCAAGAGCACTGTGCCTCGACCCTGTATATTCCATCGGGATAGGCTTGCTGGTTCTGAGCATCAGGTTCTGAGCATCAGTTCTGAGCATCAGGTTCTGAGCATCAGGAGCCACAGCAAGGCTTTGTGTGGGGCTCCTTCTGCCTTAGATGGTACAGAACCATGCTTTCCTGGGAGCTGGATCTACAGAGCGACCAGGCTGCTTCAGTCACGCACTGCCCTACAGGAGGCTCAGTCTACAGCTCAGAACAAGCTCCTGGATTAGTGGTCTTCAAACCTTTGGCAGAAAAACCTCCTGTTATCTCCAGACAGAACTTTATGTAAAACATCTCCTAAAGAAAAGCCCTGTTGTCTGACTGAAGCAGGGACTGCGACTGAGACCTTTGATCTTATTAAACCTCCTTCACTTCCTTCTCCAAGTCCTCTCCCCCAGAGTTTACATGGCACCTCTTGAAGCTGTTTTGCAGGTTTGCAAAGTGACAAATTGACAGACTAGTCATAGATGGTTTTAAGAAGGCAGCTTCTGTTCCAGTAAAAGGTTTGTTGACTGATGGTATGACATCAAACTGAGTTACTTTTACTTCTGGAGCACGCCCATGGGTTACATGCACTCTTGACTTCCTTGAGGTCTGAGCTTGGTCAATGGCGAAAGATTCCTCTCTGCTCACCTACAAACCTGTAAAACTCAGACCTCTCCCTTGGTCTCTGTTGGCCTCTAGCCCTTTATATGACCTGAGTGTTCCTTCACCTGTAGTCCAACATAGTATTTACACACAGACCCTCTAGCACTTTAACAATATACTCTTAACATTTTGCAACATGGGTTCCAAACTAGACTACAAACTCTACTTAGCTGAGCTAGGCTGATAGGACTAAAAACTCCCACTTAGCCATTGATATTATTGTGTTTATGTCTGCATCTTCTTGTTTCTATGGGGCTGAGAGATCTTGATAGATAATGATAGATATCATTAGGATTCAGGCGATGGAATATCTATTATAAATCCTGAAGTAAGGAGACTTCTGACTCCTCTAGAAAAGTTACTTCAAATGAAATCTGACTCTACTAGATCCAGTTTCAGGTCTTTTGGTAGGAGAGAATAGTATGTTGTCTAGTTGAAAGTAATGGGTATTGTTTGAAATCCCTGAAGCCCAGGCAACATGTTAGCACCTGTACATTCTACAGCCAAAGGGCTGTGTTTCTAAATGACTTCCCATCTTCTGTTTGCAGCTTCTCCAGAAAAGTAAACTTTGGTGGAATAAGTCAGTATTCCAGCTGGCAGGAAAAGAGACAATCCACCCAAATACAGAAAGCATATCAAGGCTTGTTGCAGACGCTAAGCACGGGGCTAACCGTGTTTGGATCTGAGCGGGGTAAGCAACCACACGCCAAAGACAACTATGCTAAAAGCGCAGTTCTGGAACAGTAACTAGTCTGAACAAACAGGAACACAGGAGACTTAGAAGGAGTTGGGGTCTGAAATGAGAACAAGATGGCCACTGAAAATAAAGTAGAAGTGGTTGATACTCAGCTATCTGGACCCACGAGTAAGAGCACAAAATAATCAGCATGAGCCTTCTCTTAAAGTAAGAGCAAGAACAAGATGGCAGAGGATGAGGAAGTAGAAGTGCCGTCATTAATAGGAGAGCCAGCTAGAAATGAGAGCTTTGGGCTATTTTTTTTGCATTCTTGTCATTTGTTGTCATATGTGGACATACAGAGATCCATGTGCCTGCAGACTACTCCCATGGGGGTTTGTTTTAGGTGAAACACTGCACTTAGAAACCATGCTGTCATATCACTGGACACCTTGGCATTCTCGCTGGTGCACACCTGTAATTAAAGCCTTGGGTGATGGAGGCAAGAAGATGAGGAGCTAAAGGTCAGCCTGAACTACACAGCTAGCCTGTCTTTGCAAAAATGATTTTTAAAACCAATGTGTTTAAACAGTAAGTTTCAGAAGATAAAGGAAAGTATACTATTGACTCAAAAATCATGGGATTTATTGTACTAATATGCATACTAAAATCTGAGTTCAAAATCTACATAAATATTAAATATACGTGACATTAATGTTTTTAAAAGCATTTTGAACAAGTTCTAGCTTTTAAACTGTGGTTTTATTATTGAATTGCAGAGCTAATACAATATATTTTAGTCAACCCTCTTAAGTTTGGGCAGAAAGGGGCTGGGGGAGGGTCTCAACTAAGAAGTGCGAGACTTTGTTCTGTTCTAGTCCCCTTCCCAAGACTGATTTCAAAGCTTTTATTTAGTTTTTATCACTGTTGGGTACAGAATATGGATTCCAATAATCACTATAGATAATAAAGTGCCATTAACTTGTACTAAAAAAGATATGTAGGTGCATTTAAAAAAAAAAAGAACCTTCATTTGGACAGAAAGTCACACCAATATGCAAAATAAAGAGTCCTCAAGAATAGAAAAATCTGAAAACAGATCTGTAGCTTTAAGGAACTAGAGATGTCCCAAATACTTAACTAAGACACTTGGGTTTAGAGGGAAGCTGGAGCTTGGGAGAATTTTCCTCAGCAGGCAGCCCCTGGACTGCTATTGAATTGTCACCAGCACAATGTTGAACATAATGGCACACAATCTCCTACCCAAGGACAGAATGGAAGATGAAAGACTCTGCTTTCCTGGTGGCATACAGGACAATCTACCTTTCAGTGTCCAGAGCAAGAGTGACTGCACAATGGTTCTGTGTGGTCTGTAAATGGCTGGCTGTCTCTGCTGTTATCCTTGTCACTGTGACGCCTTACTCCATCCGTGTTGCAGGATGGTCTCCCAGTATCCGCCCATTTCCAGCATACTCTCACAACAAACGTTGATTCTTATAATACAGCATGTCAGTCACTGCAGGCGGAGTTCCTCTGTGTCCCAGCAGCCCTTTCATAATAATCACACTGAGCCTTAATTTTAACTATAAATGCTCAGCCAATAGCTCAGGCTTGTTACTAATTGGCTCTTACAACTTAACCCATTTCTATTAGTTTACGTGCTGCCCCGTACCTCGTGGCTTTTACCTCTATCCCACTTTGTGTGTCTGGCTTGTTCTCTGTCTAACTGGTGACTCCTCTGACTCTGCCCTTTCTCATCCCATCATTCTCAGTTGGGCTTTCCCACTTAATTTTATCCTGTTCAGCTATTGGACAGTCAGCTTGTTTATTAAACCAATCATAGTGACATATATTTACACAGTGTACAGAGGGATTATTCCACAGCAAGTCATACTTTGGCACATGAAATAAATGGAACTGAAAAGAATTTATGACTGAACAAAGAGTAATCAACTAATGAGATACATTTTTAAAGGCCAATCTATATTTAATTTCAACTTTTCACTTAGTAGGAATGTGGTTTGTCTCTGTTTTACTAATGTGAATATTTGCCTTTTTTAAATCCATAATAGGCAATTCTCTAAGACATAAGTAGGATTTATGCTATTATACTCATTCTTGTAGCAAACGTATTCAAACAAAGAGACTTTTTTTGTTACTTCCATTGTTTGTTTTTTGAGAAAGGATCTGTCTATGTAACTAGGCTGGTTTTCAACTCTTTGTCCCCCTACCTCAGCTGAGAACATAGGTGTGTGCCATCAAACCAGGTTCAATTTTATTTTATTCTTTAAAATTTAAGGACTTAAGAACATTTCTAAAATAATATGTCAATGTTTTCTTCCTAGAGCAAGTATTAAGCTTTAATGGTATTAAATATTTGATTATTTTACAGATCTATAGGCACTACCAATATACAAATAAGTAATAATGACTGATATCAAAGTATGCTTTAAAATATTTATGTCTAGGTATCTTCATTTTCAATCTTCTCTCAGTGGTGTTACCACAAAGAAACACTGTCATTATTGTTCATTAAGCAACAGGATAGCAGAAAGATAAAAGATAAGTAAAGGGCTACTTACTCATTTGACGCCCTCTTAAAGGATATATCCTGAGTCTCTCAATAATATCAACCACAATCAGGGACAATAGAATCAGAGACACTGGCAGGTCAAGCAAGGGACCAGTCGGTAAAACTGGAACTGTTCCGTTGGCATCCTTTTGAATCTGTTTTCAGAGAGTCATTTAAGCACATTTAATTAGTTTGCTTTATTTGTTCTAAATTCTGTCAATAGTCTGCAGACAGTACTAAATTTATCATAAATATATTTACTGAAAAATTAAAAGCTCTGTTTTTAGCTTTTCAGGTTTTAAACACAAGGCTTTGAACCATTTCTAAATATGCAAAGGGGTTTCACACAACTGGAGTCATTTTTTATTAAAAGTAGAGACCCCCCAGATGAATTAAAAATACAATAACAAAAGACTGTGTATATAACTCAGTTGGTAAAGTACTTACATGGCATACATGAGGCCCTGAATTTGATCCTCATTCTGTGTGTGTGTGTGTGTGTGTGTGTGTGTGTGTGTGTATCTTGGTGTGTCTGTGCCTATGTCTGGGTGTCTGTGTTTCTGCACGTGGATGTGGTAGCTTGAAAGAAAACCACTCACAAGGGAATGATACTAACAGGAGGTGTGGCTTTGTTGGAGTGGGTGTGGCCTTGTTAGAGGAAGTGTGTCATTGTGGAGGTGGGCTTTGGGTTCTATTTGGCTTAAGCTTCGCTCAATGTGACCTTAAACCATTTCCTGTTGCTTGCAAGATGTAGGACTCTCTACGTCTCCAGCACCATGTCTGCCTGCATGCGGCCAAGCTCCCCACCATGATGATAGTGGACTGAACCTCTGAAACTGTAAGATAGCCTCCCCAATTAAATGTTTTTCTTATTAAGGGTTGCCATGATCATGGTCTTCACAGCAGTAGAAATCCTAATACACTGTATGTCTGTGTGAGTGTGTGTGTGTGTGTATCTGTGTCTCTCTGTGTGGATGTGTATGCATGTATATGTATGTAAGTGTGTGTATGTGTGTGTGTGTGTATGGGTGGGTGTGTTTTCTCAGTAAAGGTGAAATAGACCACTCCTTCCAACTCTACTTCTAAACAGAGCCCTGAAATTACCAGGTAAGCTCAGCTAAGCTTTCTTCTGTATCTGCTTATGGTATCTATAAGCAATACAGCAAAACAAGCCTGGGTGCATCATATTCTTGGTGAAACATTGGAAGTTTTCTCTCAGAAACAAAACAAAGATACCTTTGTAACCAATGCTAGTCAACTTGTCTTGGATATCTCAGAGAGTCTAATAAATCCAGGAAAAATTAATAAACTTTACTAAAAACAAAGAAAAATTAAACATTACTTTTCATAAACTGTATAAACATATATGAAGAAAATGCTCCCAAATGAATCTATTCTTTTTAACTCCTAATGACAAAAACAAAAATAAGATTTTTTTAAAGATAAAACCATTAACTACAACTTCAATCAGCATGTCAATTATAAAGCATATTCTGAAATGCATGTGGAAATAAGAAGGGCAGTAGTAATAGGTGGGAAGGAAGGTAGAACAATTCGCTCCTCTGGCTCTGTAGAACACTTATAAAGCTATAGAATAAGTCGTGAGGTGTGAGTTAGCACAGAACAAACAGCTAGGCAAAGTGGCGACACTAGATGCTTGGGGACAGGTCAAACACATGGACACCTGGCTTATAACAAAGAGAACTCTGTTGAAGCAGACAAAGGAGTTTTTAAAGCATGGTTCTCTACTCGATAGAAAAAAAACTTGACCCACCCCTATACAATGTAACAAACAACCATTAAAGTCAGACTGTGGATCTAAAAGAAAGAGAAGAAATACATTTTCTAAAAGATGAGATAAGTTCATGATAAGATAAGATCTTTAGGACTTTGCAGTTTAGATTCTGAAATCTTAATTGTTTCACCAGAAGCATTTTACACAGATGAAAGAAGCTGATAAAGCAGACTGTTTCAAAGCAAAAAGCTTCTTATCAAAAGACAACAGTAAAAGTGTGAAGGCAAGTTCCAGGGTGAGCATATTTTTGGTACCTACATTTTAAAAGAGCTGGAATTTGAATGTGTAAACAGCACTTTCAAACAGATTTTTTTCAAATAGTTTTTTTATTTTTTGAGATTATAATATAATTACATCATTTCCCTTTCCCTTTCCTCCCTCCAAACTCTTCCACATTACGCTCCACTTTGCTCTCTTTCAAATTTATGGCCTCTTCCCCATTAATTTTTTTTCTCTGTACGTCTCTCTGTGTGTTCCTACATACATAAATAGAACTTGTATGATAATATTTTATTTGTCTTATGGATAAAGCTTGTCTGAGGATCAGAAGCCACTGGAGGCCAGGCAGTGGTGTCACACACCTTTAATCCCAGGATTTGGGAAACAGAGGCAGATGGAGCTCTGTGAGTTCAAGGCCACCCTGGGCTACGCGAGATCACTGCAGAAACAGGTCCAGGTGGTGGTAGCTCACACCTTTAATCCCAGTACTAGGGAGTCACACACCTTTAATCCCAGCACTAGAGAGAAATATGTATAAAGTGGTATGAGACAGTAACTCCCTCTCTTTCAGTCTGAGGATTTCTTAGAGGGAAGATCTCTCTAGTGGCTTAGCTGCTTTGCTTTTCTGATGTTCAGGTTGAACCCCCAATATCTGTCTCTGGGTTTTTATTTCATGCTACAAACCTGTTTACTTTGTAAATCAAATCAAATTTAAAGGAGAAGTAAATATTAAATAAACAAAGATGAAAACACCATCTTTGGGGAGAAGAAATTTTAAAGTGCAATGAGTTTCAAAAACATATCCCTCAGATTAGCTACAAACAAAGAGCAAGTTCTTGTAAAGAACATGAAGCTGAGGATACATCCACTCTCTGCTACTGAAGTCACAGTCTCTCTTGAGACATGCTTGAGAAAGCATGTTTCATTATATTGGATGGTTGAACATTGTATAACCCATCTATTCTACTCCTATGCATTAAATCAACTGATATAATCACATCTATAATCATTTTTAGGCAAGTTTCTGGCAACATTAGCTCAAAATGGAAACAACTAATATTATCATCAAGAAAGGAACTGTCATACAGGTCTTTCACTTGCTTGGGTTACAGTGAAGAGTGTTGCTTCCCCCATTTCTTTCACAGCCCATTTATTGTTTGAATATAGGAGGGCTACTGATTTTTTTAAGTTAATCTTATATCTTACCACTTCACTGAAAGTATTTTTCAGTTGTAGGAGGTTCCTGGTAGAATTTTTGGGGTAACTTATATATCCTATCATCTACAAATAGCAATACTTTGACTTCTTTCTTTCCTGTTTCTATCCCTTTGATCTCCTTCAGGTATCTTATTGCTCTAGCTAGAACTTCAAGTACTATATTGAGTAGTGATGTAGGTGGGTCATCTTTCTATGTGTTCCTTTCATTTGTTAATTAATAAACTGCTTGGCCTGATAGGTCAGAACATAGGTGGGTGGGGAATACAGAACAGAATGCTGGGAAGAAGGGAAGTGAGGCAGAAGCTATAGCTTTCCTCTCCAAGATGGACGCAGGTTAAGATCCTTCCTGGTAAGCCACCACCTCGTGGTGCTACACAGATTATTAGAAATGGGTTAATCAAGATGTGAGAGTTAGCCAGTAAGAGGATGGAACTAATAGGCCAAGTGGTATTTAAAAGAATACGGTTTCTGTGTAATTATTTTGGGTAAAGCTAGCCAGTGGCCGGGAGCTGGGAGGCGAGTAGCAGCCCGACACTCCTCATTACAGAGTAGACATGGAGAGAGCAGACAGCCTTGTCTATTTCCTGATTTAGTGGAGCTGCTTGGGTAGCAGACTTCTAGCAATAGGGGATGCATTGCCTGAACTGCTCATCTCCTGTGGCCAGGCAAGAATTCTGTGGAGGGATCGGAACACCAGTCCAGCCACAAAAACTTCAACCTACAATTTGTTCTGCCTATAAGACGAGCTTGGGTATAAAGGAGCAGAAATTGTGGTCTAGCCTGAGACCTATGCCACTGGAGAACCTGGCCCTGATACTGCCAGATAGGTCAGTATCCAGAGCCTGGATAGCCCATCCTACAACAGAACCAAACATGACTAGCAAAAAAAAAAAAAAAAAAAAAAAAAATCAATGGAATTATGCCTAGTGATGTTCTGTTCTACCCATAGATTGATGCCTAGTCCCATTGTCATCAGAGAGGCTTCATCCAGCAACTGGTGGGAACAGATGCTGTGACCCACAGCCAAACATTAGGCAGAGATCAAAAAATACTATGGAAAATGGGGAAGAAAGACCGTATGAGCCAGAGGAGTTATGAACACCACAAGAAAACCCCCAGAATCAACTAACCTGGTCTTATAGGGGCTCACAGAGACTGAATTGACAGCCAGGGAGTTGCATGGGACTGGCCTAGGCCCTCTGCACATATGTTGCAGTTGTGTAACTTGGTCTTTTTGTGGGACTCCTAAGAGTGAGCAGCAGCTGTCTCTGACTCTGTTACTAGCTTTTGAGCCTCTATTCCTCATACTGGGTCACCTTATTCAGTTAATAATAGAGGAGATGCTATGTCTTACTACAACTTGATATGCCATGTTTGGTTGATAGCCATGGGAAGCCTGCCCTTTTCTAAAGAAAAATGAAGGACAAGTAGATGGGGTACAGAGTGGGGATAGGGATTAGGGACTGGGAGGAGAAGAGGGAGGGAAAACTGTGACTGGCATGTATTAATAATAATAAATCATTTCTTAAAAGAGAACAGCACTGATAGAACTGAGAGCGCAGCTCCGTGCTAGAAGCTTGCCTTCTACGTCCTGCCCCCAGGTTCAATCCTCACTATAGCAGCAGCAGCAACAACGCAATGGAACTGTATAACTAAAGTGTAAACCGCAGCATTGGGCTAGGCTGGCGAACCTTGGATGTCAATCCCAACACCATAAATAAATAAATAAATTGCAATAGCTTTTAAGATGAAATACTTGAGTCTTATAGCAATGAAAATATGTGAACCTATAGCTAGACATAAAAGTATGAATGGCCTTCACATCATGCTTTTGAATAAGATAGAAGACATACACTATAATCATAAATTATAGCCATAATAAATGTGGTTATAATTTGAATTCCCCTAACAGAAAATTCAAAATATAGGTAAATGGCTCTGTTATAGAAGTCATGGTCAAAGTAATCTTGTGAGGGAAAGGGGGGAAAGGGAGACAGAGCATGTGGGGCTGCAGCTGCTCAGGCTGCATTTCTTGACCTGAGTGGTGTTGGCACAAGAATCTGTTTTGTGACATTCCATTGATACTATACACTTATGCTTCAAGCACTTTAATGGAAATGTAATAAAAAGAGGAGAGGTAACTTTGAGAGGTAATGAATGAGACCACTTAGTATATAATAAAAAAACAGCTACCATATCCCAGATATGCCATCATTTTATGAACTGAAATTAGAACTTCTGGGAAAGCCTCCGCAGCTCCCTCCCCCAAGCTGATGATGCTGTCCTCTTTCCCAACACCTTGCAAGTGAATGACATCATTGGTAAAGCCTTTGCTGACTTCTGTGGAAACTGAGGCTGTTTGCTTCCAATCATCCTGTCCTATGGTCTGGTCTCCGGGAAACCTATTGGAGCTCTGGCTTATTGAAACAAAAGACTATCAGCATAATTAACATGTGTAAAATATTTATCAGTGGGTAACTTACCAAAGGTAATTGTGTAAGACAGTAGATTGCCTGAGTTTTTTATTCTTTGCGGCTTTGAAATAGACTCTTATGTCATATATGTAAGTACAGAAGTAATATGTGTTTTAAAATGCCAAACTATCCCTCAAATCACAGAGGTAAAAATTATCTTACAATAAGGATTATACGTATATGTACATATATTTCAATTTGGAAGAAGATTGGATTGGAATAAACTTCGGAAAATGTTTTGGGCATACTACTCTCTTGAGAATCAAAACCACGGCATTTTAAGACCACGACATCCTGCAGTAGAAGAAATGAAAATTGCATACCTCGGTGGCTGCTATGGAAAAGCTGAAGCTGGGAAGAGTGGTGAGCACCACACACATCATCAGAACAGGTCTCCTAGCAAAGGAGAAAAAAATAAGCAACAGCAATAACAGCACATTGACAGTTCCTGTTATATGTCGCTGACTTCAGAGTTCCTCTTTCATTCATCTATGTTTTTTTCCTAAGAAGCTTACTGCTTCCCTATTTCCATTTCCCAAATGTTTGAATATGGCAAAAAGTAATGTGTGCAGAAAATAAAGAACAGATTTCTCTTCTCCAACAAAGGGATGAGAGATTTCCAAATCGCCCAAATAGTTAGTAAACTAGTGATTGAGGCATAAAATAAATATCACACTGTGTTTTGTGAAAGGGAAGACTCAATGGATGCTTAATATATTGAATTAATAAACAAGACAAAAGATAGTCAGAGATTTGGGGTGTGCAAACATAAATACAGTGCAGCAGGTGTGTGGAAGTCAGAGGATAACTTGGGTATTGGCCTCACCTCCATCTTGTTTGAGGTAGGGTTTATGGTTAGTTTAACACTGGGTGTGGTGAACCAGCCCATGAGTTTCTGAAGAGTCTCCTATCTCTGTCTCCTAACTCCCATAAAAGCAGAGTCTGCCCCTTTATGAAGGTTCTAGAGAACTGAATTCAAGTCCTTAGGCTTGGGCAATAAACATGTTAGCCAGTGAGTCATGGTGCCAGCCTAGAAATCTTTTTTTGTTACAATAAAACATTTATCTCCTCTTTCCCTGAACACCTTAAATTGACTACGTTCATACAAAGTGCCCCACAATATAAGAGCTATTGGATAGTTTTGAGTTGTTAACAAGTTTTTCTTACTTCTGCCATGCCTCTCTATCTTAGACACAGGCATAATTAACAAGAGAGACAGCATCCCTCTGTAAGCCACACCCAGTGCATATGGCAAATGCTAGCTACAATGGGATTTAAAGCTGGCACATCAGGAACTAGTCATTTTGTTCTTTTTAGTAAAGTAAAATATAAAGAAGAAAGTTGGTTGCTACTCTTTCTGTCTCAGACCAGAACTACATTCCTGCAACATGAGGCTACCTAAGAGACCATGGCTAAGCATACATAGGGTTCTCACCCTTATAACCTGACCTGTGAAAATGGAGAATGTACAGAGGATATTCCTGAGCTTTTCTCTGAATAATCTCCCTAGATTACTGCCCTCATTCTCATGTTTTTAATTATTAACCTACCTTCCCAAGACACTCAATACATAGTGTACCAACTGGCATCCCTACCTGAATGTTACAGAGGCAGTTCAGTCTAAATGCGTCTGAAAGACTAAGAGAGTCCTTCCCCACAGCCACTCTAACACATCACCCCATCCTCTCTGACTTCCTGCTGCAATCCAAATCCAACCCACCCTCTGCTCATACAGTCCATTCACCATCGTCTCCCATCTGTGCTTCTCTAACAGGATTTCCTGATAGAGTTTCCCGTTCCTGAAACCAGAGTGTCTTCTTCTACTGATCTCTGCCTTATACCTTGAGACAGGGACTCTTGCTGAACCCGAACCTCACCATTTCAGCTAGACTCTGAGCCCCGTGATTTCTCTGCACCCGCTTGTCTTAGCCCCCACAATGCTGGAGTTATGGCACATACAGGAATCCATACCAAGCTTTCTCCATCACGTCCCTGAGCTCACATTTAAAATGTAAAACTCACTTTGTCACTCTATCTCCAGAGATAGGAGGCTAGGGGCAGGGGTGGGGAATTTCTGTTTAATGGGGACAAAGATTCAGTCTTGAAAGATGAGAAAGGTTTATGGACAGATGGCTGACAGTAATGGTAGCCCAGCAACACAAATGTTTTTAATACCTCTGGGCAGTACACAAAATGGTTAAGGTCATAAATTTTATGCTATGTATATTTTTTACTACAATCACAGATATCGCTAATGGATGCACAGTGCAATTGGAATACAATGGAGTCTTCTCACCCAAGCCCACAACTTCTTCAAGAAATCCTTTCTCTTTGATCTCCTATTTTCTGTCTTTGAAACGATCTGCCTTCCCCCCTACTTATCTCCAGCCATTCCAGCTTTCTGGTTATCTCAGGACCTCTCCATGCAGACTTCTCCTCAGTCTGACCAGAGTTTCAGACTATCATCTGTTCTTCCTGCTGGGGGCGCGCTACCAAACCCACTTCGGTAGAGTCTGGTACCACACTGTCACCTATTTCTCCAGCTTTGGCCATTTTCGTACATTCCTTCTGCACATGATTTGTGTACTTGATTGACCCTTATGACAACTTGAAATCCTGTTGGTTTTCTTCTGTTTTTTGGTGGTGATGGTGGCAGTGGTGTTTTTGTTTTTGTGTTGTTTTACTTTGTTTTATTTTTTTCCCAAGACAGGATTTTTCTGTTCATCTCTGGCAGTCCTCAAACTAGCTCTATAAACCAGGCTGGCTTTGCACTCCAGAGATCCTGCCTCTGCCTCCTTGGGTGCTGGGATTAAAGGCGTGTGCCAACACCACCCAGCTTTTCTTCTGTTTTTATTGCTTTCCCTTTTCCTTTTCCTTCATATCACTTAACTGAACTTAAATAGCTTATTCTTTGTTTCCAGCACCTAGAGTACAGTTTCTGAATCATTTTATGTATATAAACCAGCTGAGAATCTAGTGAATCCTGAGGTATCCTCTTGGGATAAAATCTAAATGAGTAAAATAAAATACAGACTTTCATTTCAAATTAAATTGAAATTATCTATAACTCTTTTTAAAATAATCCCATAGGCCTCCAACCTTCTTACAGAATTACATACAATTATTCAAGATTTTTAAGCACAGTAATGCACGTACCTCCGTACTGATACTGATGCATTTCCCCAGCTGTGGAGTACTTAAAACCTGATAAGAACTGTAATCACTTATAATATCAATGTAGTCACTATTTCGGACCAGGTTCTAAAGTATCTGCTGCACCTACTGCATGATACAAACAGTTCATGTGGTAAGTTGTGGTTCCTGGTCATAGTGTTATAGGGTGTTGCCAACATTTATATTAGCGAGCTTTCAATTACAAGATATTTATTGACTACCTATTCCATTAGTTTGGTATGGTGTTGTAAAATATCTGCTACATATAAACTAATGGGATTGCTAATATGTAAACACCAACCACTATTTATGTTTCTTTAAAATGCTCACATATTGGGGACTGGAGAGATGGCTCAGAGGTTAAGAGCATTGCCTGCTCTTCCAAAGGTCCTGAGTTCAATTCCCAGCAACCACATGGTGGCTCACAACCATCTGTAATGGGGTCTGGTGCCCTCTTCTGGTCTACACACACACAGACAGAATATTGTATATATAATAAATAAAAAAAATCTAATAAAAAAATGCTCACATATTGCTAGGTCCTGCTTATAATTTATTAGTAAGGAACATGAATTAAATAATGTACTTACCTAAAAGACACACTGAAATTCCAACTCCCTAATACCTTGGAACATAACCTTATTTTGAAATCAATTTTTATACAGAATGATCCCATTAACATAAGATCATTTGGGTGGGCCCTAACTTAATATAATCTATATTACAGGCTAGCATAGAAAAAAAGACATGGAAACATTGGAAGAATGCCATCTGGCAGTAAAAGCAAAAATTTTGGTGATTTCCATATTAACCAAGGAGTGCCACGGACTATCTAAACCCAGCAGAGGCTAGGACAAAGGTCAGTAATAAAGGTCCCTCACATAACCCAGCACTAATCCAGCTGACACCTTGTCTCTGGCTCCTGGACTCTAGTCCAGTGAACAGTAACCTTGTGTTGCATATATCGTGTAGCTGAGGGCACTCTGTTCTAGCGAGCAGGGAAAGAAACAGAGCTATGCCACGGGGGGGGGGGGGGGGGGGGGGGGGGGGGGGGGGGGGGGGGGGGGGGGGGGGAGGGGAGGATGCTGTTGAAATATCCGAAAAAGCAGGCATGGCTCTGGAAGTGAGTGATGGGATCTTGGGAGTTGTGCATCAGAAAAGCCCAGAACACCGTGGAGGGGTTGGTGGTGGAAACGTAGACAGATGGGAGATTCTGAAAAGCTCAGAAAAGGCAGAGGAAGGCTCAGAAAAAAAAAAATGTATCATCTCAGAAAACAGACGTGCTTTTGTGAACAGATGGCTGCTAGAAATTTGACCGGCAAGGTCCTTCTGATGTGTGAGGTAGAGACCATCGTAATGCACAAAGCACGCTGTAGCTCATGGAAGTAGGGCGTGGTAGAGAGTCCTCACACGGCAACGGACAAGAAGCAGAGAGGCCTAGAGTGGAACCCGGGCAGGTCTGCCCTTCAGACCTCTAGTCACCTACTTCCAGCAGCCAGACCCCTATTTCCTAAGATCCTCACAGTTCGGAACCATATGCTATGAGCCTGTGGGAACCTCCCAGACTCAAACCTCAACAACGAGCAAGCAGTGAACCAGACACAGCACGGAGTACATCACTTGGCAGAGAACTGAAGGTGTAGTCTGTCTCCTCCCTCGTGTTTGTGGGGGAAAAAAAAGAACAATAAATTGAAGAAAGTGTTAGAAGAAGGACACTAGAACTTTACTATGTAGAAAATTCTTACCCCAGCCATATGGCGGGGACACGGGTTACATGTTCAGAAGAGACCATCAAGATTATGGCTGTGAGTTCAGTCCACCACATCAGCAGAAACCATTGGGCAGAAGACGATGAGGACACTGGCTCTTGGGCTTCTGAGACTCTACAGAAGAAATGAACTGATAGAGCTATTTGGCTCCAAACATGTCCCCTAGAGGGAAGAATGGCTCTGATGGGTCAGAGACTGAAAAAGCTGAGGTTTCTATATAAATTCAGAAAGCAGAGGCCACCAACCAGGAGTCAGCATAGCTGGGCCTAGAAGGTAGATCCAGAGAACAGAACATCCAGCAACAGAAAATCATCCTCAAGACTTCAAACTGAATGGGATTTTCCTTTCTAGGTTTGATCTTTATTGGAAACCATTGCTTTCCCCTTCCCTATTTATCGGTCAAAGAATGGTAATGTCTACTGTCCCACCATTGGAAGCAATTTACTTTTTAAG